CTAAGTGCCCGGATACTCTTGGAAAAGCAAGATGGGGCCAAAAGCTGGGGGAAGAAGCTGTCAGTAAAAATAGCCCCTGGGATGGCGGAGTGATGTTTGCTTCCGCTGAGCTTGTCTGCATAGGTTTTTCAAGGTGGTTTGGAAATTGTTGGCACTCTGTCTTCACCGCTTTGCTTATCTGAAGCAGCAGGAAGGAGAGCTGATCTGAGAGATATTTTGCAATGTTGCTTTGAGTTGAAGTTGAGAGAGGCATTTCAAGTTTGTCTGACAGTAAACAGCCCCTCAGACGATGGTGCTGGGTTTGAAGGCCCCGAGCCTTAGGAAGGGTGGGGTCAGGGGAGTGTGCCTTTGGGATCAGACAACACGTTACAAAAAGGTTCCAGGCTGCCACGGGTAGTTCACGTGTCCTTCCCTGGAGAGCAACCTTATGTTTTATGTCTGATATTTGGGAGCTTATTTCCCCAGGTGGCATTCAGAAGATGCAGGTCTTGCTCAAGGACTTTGGGGTCTGGGGCAGCCTGGGTTTCGCCAGGTGGACATTCCAATGCTGGCTGCTGTTAGCATTGGACAGGATGTGGACCTGCCTGCGGGCTTGTGAGCCTGGAGGGACCCGCAGGGGGCTCTTACAGAGGGCAGGAGGGTGCACAGAAACTGCTTTTCCATCAAAGCCAGAAAAAGGAGGAGGCGGGGTGGGAAATCTTAGATAGCCCTTCTCTCTTCCTGGACACACATCACTCACAACTCGTTTCCTGAAAATCCTAATACACTCCAGTGCTGAGAGACGGCTTCCTGCCGATCTGCTGAGCCAGCTCCTTGTCAGGGAGGAGATGAGAACAAGATGTGGTCAGAGAAGGGGCGGGTGGGCCGAGCTGGGCTGCTCAGTGGCCCCGTGGCCACTCTGTGAGGGGACAGCAGTGTCTGCAGGTCCTGAGAGCAGTGCCAGGGCACCGCATGGGCACAGATCGGAGCAGCTCGGGGCAGCGGGAAGTATTCGAAAGCAGTGTCTCATCTATCAGTAAAATTGCACAGATGGTGGTGATGAAACATGACCCTTCCTTTTGCTTCAAGAAGAAAGGACCTTCCTGGCCAACATCTGCAACCCCATTTGGGGAAAGGGTTGTTATTGCAAAACACACACACACACACACACACACACACACACACACACACAACTAGCCCTGAAGTTCTCACATGTCCATCCTCTTCTTCCTGCCCCATGCTTTGCTTTTATGCCTATTGCTCCTCTCTGCACCCAATCGCACTTAAGAGTTGAATCTCCTTTGTGTCACAGCACATGTGTCCTCAGGCCACTGTCATCGCCATCAAACTGTACTTTGGACTGCTGGTTCCTGGCAGTGCTGTAGTTTTATGCTTCCACCTTCTAAGAGAGACAGACAGAAAACTGCTTTAAAAGTATGGTCAGGACCAGCAGACCTGGTTGGAAACCCGGCTCTGTCACGGTACCGTGAGAGCCTGGACAGTTACACATCCAGTTTCCAATGTCCTCAGTTACAACATGGGGAATGGGTTAGTACCTTCCTCAGAGGTGTGTCGTGAGGGTGAAGTAATGAACACGTAAATACATGTGAACGATTCTGATGGCAACTTTTCTGGGTTTCCCAAGCTCAGAAGGATCCAGGGTGTGGTGGAAGCAGGGTGCGATGGAGGCAGGAAGGTGACCTGAGCTTCTTTGATATGTCTGAAGATTGCCTTCCTTAAAAGTATGTTGAAATCTTGTGGTCTAGAGTGTTCGTTTTTATCTCAACCCCAGAGGTCTGCCTGCTTCGGTGTACCTGGGGTGGAGCCCGACAAGCTGCATATTTAACTAGCTCCTAGCAGGGCTGATGCTGCTGGTCCCAGGAGGGCAGTTAGGTAGACGAGGAAGCCGATTGTTCCTTGGAGACTCAGAAGACAGAAGGAAAGGCCAAGTAGGCGCCACTCACAGAGAGGTAGTTTCTGGTTCAGTGTAAGGACTTTCTTTAACTACTAGATGCGGTCTCAGGAGCTCCCTGTCGCTGGCTATGTCCAGAGATGAATGGCCATCTGGCAGATTCCCGTACAAAGTAGAATGTTCATTCATTTATTCATTCGTCCATGTATTCACCAAATAAGAGTGGGCCTCCTGCCTGGTAGCAGCTGGAAGCTGCAGAGAAGCCTCAAACAAGGCAGCCATGTCCCCTGCTCTTAGTGAGCCCATAATCCAGTGAGTTTGGCTGATTCCTAAAGTCCCTTTCAATGTGGAGACTTTTAGAGTCTTATGAGTGGCTGAGGACTGGCAAGAATGTGGTCACCTGTGAGGTTCACTCTGGATGGCTTTCTTTGGAGCGTCTTAATGTCGCCGGATGAATAATTCTCCCCCTAAGACTGAGAAGAGGCTGATAATGTATTTATCAGGAGTACATTTTCAATGAGAACGTTTACATCCCACTGGCGCCTGGATAGACCATTAAACTCTGAACCCCTGCCTGGCTGTCCATTATGCAGTCTCTGAAACCAGACCTAGGAAATGGGGCTGCAGGAATGAGCTAATTGCTTTTTTTGCCACTCCCAAGTGATCTACTGGAGCGTTACTGGCTGGGGAGATTTAAAGGGAAATAGGTAATTCCATCAGTTTTGCTGGGTCCTTCCATGGTACTTCCTGTTGAAAGCAATAGTGATAAACGCTAACCTTTACTGAGCTCCACTCTGTACCTACTTGGTGGTAAGCCCTTTTCATGCATTTTGTCGGTTTACTCTTATGGCAATCATGTTAAGTGAGGATATTGTCTTCATTTTTGAAGAAGAGAAAACAGATATTCAGAGGGGAAAAGTAAGTCATGTATGGCCATAGACACAGCAAATGTCAGAACTGGTATTGAAACCTTAGTCTCGCCGACTCCAGACCATGTTCTCAGCTCCTAGCATGCCGATCGACTCATTCATTTACTTGTTCCTTCGTTTATCCATTCCTTCATCCAATAATTAGTTAAATTGTTCTTTCATTGAGTAAATGTTAAACAGGGATATATACTGGTGAGCAGAGCAGCTTGGCCTCTGTCCTCATGGGGCCCACAGTTTATCTCCCTCAGACACATAAGTGACTCCTCCCTAGATACTTGGCTGCTTAGATGCTCAGGAGAAAGAGAAAGGGCTGGGAGGCAGAACTCGGCAAGTTAGCTACTGACCCAGAGTTTCCTTGTAATGAGAGCTTCTCTACACAAGCTGAGTTTTGGGCTTTGCTTTATTTTGACATTTCCCCGTTGGGTTTCTTTTCTTGTTGTCCAAGGCTGGATGTTGAAGGGCTTGACATGATACAAGAGATCATTCTGTGGCATTTGCCTTCTGACTGCACTCTAGGGGTGGAGGGGAATCTGAGCGTCAGGAGTCCCAGAACTCTTATTAGAGTTGGAAGTGACTCTAGTCTTCAATGACCCCATCTTTTTGGGAAATGTCACCTCTTCCAGAATCAGAGTGGTCCCTGCAGATTCCTTTGGCCTTCCATGCTGGCCTGAGCCTATATTTTCTTCTTCTGAAAAGGAGTTTCAAATTAGGTTTTCAGTTTTCAAAATAAACGCAAGATCATTATTTTAAAAAATCAACCGATTTTCAGAAATATGCAACTGACATTGTGAACATCTGCAGTCCCCTCCGATAACCACCATCAGCAGTGGGCACTGGCTTCCCCAGTTGTTTTCAATGCATACACTAGGGCAGCGGTTGCCAACTGGTGGTCCGCGAGGTCCGAAAGGTTGGCAACCGCTGCATTAGGGTGGACTATTATTGTTTTTCACTTAAAGGGATTTTGAAAATGCATATTTTCCTAAAACTTATTTTTTTGTCGAACTCAATTTTAGACATTCTTTCCAATTAGTATATATAGATCCACTTAATTCTTTGTTTTTGGTTAGACTCCAATTTCTCTTCCATTAGAAACCTTTTTGCCCTCTGACCTTGACTTTCTACAGGTACATTCTGCTTTCAGTGTGGCTGAGCTAGTTGGAGCATCCATTGGCTCCTTTATTATTATTATTACTAGAGGCCTGGTGCACAAATTCATGCACGGGTGGGATTCCTCCTGGCTGGGCCTGGGGTGCGGGTGAACCAGATTCGGGGCTGTCAGGGCCCCAGCAGCAAAGTCTGGGTCAGTGTGCATCATAGCTACTGGCTGGTCGTCTGGTCGTTCCGGTCGTTCCAGTCATTTGGTTGTAACGGTCACTTGGGTATATATGTGTGTGTGTGTGTGTGTGTGTGTGTGTGTGTGTGTGTATAATTTTTTACTTTTAGAGAAATTCTAGGAACCTTGATTGGTGTTGCCTTTCCTTTGGTGAGATATTCTTAACCTCAGCTTCAGGCGGTCTGTAGTAAGAGAGAAACCAATGTCTAATTTTAGAAAAGAATTTATTAGAAGGGTAACACACAGAAGTACCAGGTCTCAGGAAATCTGAACCACTAGGTCTCAGAAAGGACAGGCCAAGGCAGACTCAGGAATCCATGCAGCAGGAACAAAGGAACAGATGAATTGCTCCCATCTGTTCAGCTCTTGCGGCATTATTCCATTGGCTTAGCTTGGATCATGGCCACCCTTGGCAAGGCTAGGGAGGACACCTGGATTGACAGTCTCACCAAAACATGCAACAGGGGAGAGGTATTTCCTTAAAGAAAAATTGGTGTGCTGATTCTTCCTTGGATGCAGTGGTAGAAAAATCAATCCAGGTAAATTTTGAGTTATGTGTTTGCATGTGTGTTCCCAGGACTCAGAAAAAGTTTAAGACCACTGCTTTCGTCTGTTGACTCCATCTGGTTGTCTGAACTCAATGATGACCCCCACAAATACAAAATTCATAGTAAACTCTTCCTCCTGGTTTTCTTTTAGTTTCTTAGTCCCTTTGGCCACCCCATTTCTCCTGCACTGAGATGTGGGGGATAGTTCTGCCTGCTTCAGTTAGAATGGCCAGCCATAGTTCCCAGGAGGGTGGAGTCCATCACCTCAGGAGACTAATGTCTTTTCTTATTCTTCACAGATACCTTTTCGCTCCAACCTACACAGAAACGCATTATACTCCGAGTGGCAACCCTCGAACCACCACGCTGAAATCCGAGGTAAGTTCCGGTCAACAAATAGCTACCAAACAACTGCCCTCCCTAGTCCCACCCCTGAGAAGTGAGGAGACAACAGCGGGACTGGATGGAGATGTCCCTCCTCCAAAGTGATTGTTTCCCCTGACTGAAGACCAAGGGAGCCAGCAGGAGAGGCCAAGTGTGAACCTGTTGTTTCCTACATGAGCCCTTTCCTTTGATGGCTAAAGTGGTCAATTTTAGGATAATTGCATCTGATTAAAATTGGTATAAATCACCATGAAGCATACATTTTCCTTGCTTTATGTTAATTACTCACATATTAACAGAAGGTTAAGCAAAAGGAGAGATTTCTGGTAATCCTGTCATCTCATCCAATCAGAAGTCTAATTGTTCCTTTTTCATTTGGATCTGTAAGGTTTTGTAGTTTGCTAAGGTTTTTGTAGTCTTTTTTAATGTGACTTTAGGTTATGAAGATTTTCTTATTTTGCTTCTATATCCATATTGGGTATTTTTCCCCTCAAAGTAGTTTTTCAGTACAGATGTTTGCACGAAGATTTGTCATTTAAAAAATGGTTTTTCAGATGGATACATTTAGTTGGCTTCACAACCCACTGGTGAACATTGAAGGTAGTGAATCATGCACATTTCATGGTTTGCTTGCTCTTCCTACCAGGGGGCCCATTAAAGCAGCGGTTCTCAACCTGTGGGTCGCAACCATAGGAAAACACATATAGCATATCAGATATTTACATTACGATTCATAACAGTAGCAAAATTACAGTTATGAAGTAGCAACGAAAATAATTTGATGGTTGGGGGTCACCACAACATGAGGAGCTGTATTAGGAAGGTTGAGAACCACTGCAAAGTCATAGGCTCAGAGCAGAGGTTCTCAATCAGGAGTGATTTTGTTTTCAATCATCCATTTACTTAAACTTTTGTTGATATGCGGGTAACTAACATGAAGCAAAGAAAATATGCTTCACGATGATTTATACCAATTTTAATTCAATGTAATTATCATAAAATATACTATTTGTTTGACCATCTGAGCCAGCAAAGGAGGGGGCACTCGGCAATGTCTGGGGACAGTTTTGATTGTCATGGCCAAGAGGTGGATGCTATTGGCACCTAAAAGGTAGAGGCCAGGGGTGCTGCTAACCTACAGCACAGGACAATCTCCCCTTTCCCCCCAGGGAATTACCTGGCCCCGCGTGTCACTAGTGCCCAGGTTGAAACACTGGGTTGCAGTGACCCTTCTCAGACTCTGGGCTGATGAGATGGGCTGGAGGAGAAGGGAAGATGGACTCTGGCAGGGGACATAATGGACTTGAGTGGCATGTGGAGATGGGAGATGTGGCGTGAAGACAGCAGCACAGGCCACTGTCAGTCATTACCAACTCGGGTTACTTTATCAGATTACCCTTGAGTGACGAAAGGGACACTAGATGTGTGGTAGCAGGTAGCAGGCAAGTTGGCTGTGTCTTTGTATCTTTGAGGAGGCTGTCCAGCTGTGGTGTGTCCACACATATTCTTCAATGCCCCTTGGCCAAAAGTCTTTCCTTCCTTAAGATTTCTGTTCTCCGCCTTGGGGAAGGCAGGGAGGGCACAGGCGTGCCTCGAAAGTCCTAGCCATGCCAACCTCACAAAGCACCCTCCTCTGAGTTGGGCTCTGCATTGATATACCAGCAGCTCAAGAATGGGTCTTCGTGCACAAGTTTGCCGTGACCTCATGCTTCCTGCTATGAAAGCCCCTCAGGGTGGCCCTGTCCGGCGGAGAAGCTGAGAAGGAATGAGATGACTTCATGACTGTTCATTTACTTGCTCTTTGTGCTCTCAGAATTAGGCAGAGAACCAGCCCTCAATCCCAGAATGCCCCTCTTTCCTAAAGGTCTTGCTGACCCAAGTATGGCAGAAGTTATTGTTTTCTTACATCCCCTGCTACAGCAAAGCCCCCACCCTGCCCCATGGGGCTCCCAGTCAGCTTTCTTATTTGGGAGCTGAAGACTCAGAAGTGGGAATAGAATGAACCATTTAGCTGCATTTGACCCAAAAGTTGAGGACCACACTCTACTACCAAACTTGGCCTGGGGCAGCGGGAGTTCTGGGAACCTTATCAAATTCATCAGCTGGGCCACTAGGCTGTAGGCTACAGCCCTAATCTAGGTCAGATCGCTGGGGGAATGGGTCTGTGAATATGTTCCAATAGAAAGAGTTACAGCGTTTGGGGTCTAAAGCCAGGGTTTTAGTTTTGGCTTTAGCTATTTGACCTTAAACAACCCTTTTGACTACACTAGTGTTGAGTTTCTTCTTCTGAAAATTAGATATGCTAAGATCCGACTCTCAGGACTGTGGAAGGGTAAGATGAAGCACTGATTTTATGGGAATTTATAAACATCTCTTGCAAAGCCACATTTTACACATGAGGAAATTGAGAGAGGAGAAAAAGTACCATGCTTCAGTTCAGATAACCAGCAAATGGCAAGGCTGAGAGACTAGACCTCAAGTTTCCATTGGTGCTAGAAGATCATAGTTTTGACAAGTTAATTGGTATGCACTTTGCTGGGAGAGGCAGAGCATGGAGTCTGAAGTCAGCCTGCTAGGGTTTTAATCTTCATTCTGCTGTGTGGCCTGTGAATGACAAAACCTCCCCAACCTTTAGTTTCCCTTTTTTAAAAAAAATGGGAGTAGTATATCTACCCCATAAGGCTTTGTAAGTTGTTTATCCAGTAGTAAAAGCTGGGTGGATGTTATCCCTTGTTACTAACGCTGAGTGGCAGGCGTTATTACAGTACACTTGCGACGTCGTGTGTGAAAGCCCTTGGGAAATGTAAGGCATGCTGCAGGTCAGTAGGGATGCTGTTTCGGAGAGCACCAGGCAGTGAGCTGGTCCAATGGAGGAGGTACCAGGACTCTCATGCCCAGCCCTGGCTCTGAGTTCTCTTTATATTTCTGAACTTCTTGACTCTCCATCACTCCAATATCTGTGAGCCCCATTTACTCCATACAGGCTCGGCCCCCTCTTCTACCCACAAATGATTCTGGGTTGTGGAGTCCATGGCCTTGTTGCTGAGTTCTAAGGACCAGGTTTAGAACTTAAACGCTGACAATGTGCCTCCAGGTCTCACAAGAGCGGCGGGTGGGGGGGGGGCGGGGGGGGCGGGGGGATGGAGTGGAGTAGTGGGAGATAGGTGGAGAAGCCACGTGGCAGGCTGGCATTTGAGAGTAGATGGGCTCCTGGCTGGAAGGAGGGTCGTGCCCACCTTTCTCTTTCACCGGTGCTGCAGGATGTCCCTGGTACAGTGGCTTTCCTTTGTGCGCCGCTAAAGGTCGGGATCTGACTTGTTTCAAATCCTTGACTGCCTCCTCCTGACTGCCTGGGCATGAATGGGGGAGGAGCCACCCTACGGGTAGCAGATTGTGTCTGAGCAGGTGAAAGAGCACCGGACTGAGACTGACCCTGAGTGGAGTGCCAGCCTGGCCCGCCCACTGTGACCTGGCTGCATGGCTCAGCTGGGCAGGGCATAGATTGGCACAGCACAGGCCAAAGATTCAGCCCGTTGGGGGGCTTGCCGCTCCCTCGAGGCCACATTCTGCCTTTGACAAAGGATCACTAATGTTTATTGCCGGCTGCCCCGGGCCAGTAACCTTGCATTCACCCCTGGAGTTAGCACTTGAGGTCAGACAGAGGTTGTGCAATTGTTCACATAGCTGGTCAGCATGGAGCTTGCATTTAAACCTGGCCTGAATGCTCAAGTTTAATTATTAGGCTATTAATTAAATAGCCCTGGGCAGGAGATGGAGCCAGAGAAGACAGAGAATGGGTCGAATGGGTCGCTGTCACCTATGACACATGTTCCTTGCTGGGTACCAAGGAACATCCTGCTGGTGGACTGCTCAGCCTCAGGGTGTTGTGGTGGGTAGGGGAGGAAGCTTCCAGCAGCTATATCCTTCCTAACACCTACCTAGGTCTGCCCTGGGGGTTACCTTCTCTCTCTTCTGACCAGCTTCTCTCTCTCAACCGTTGGGGAAGGAGCTTGTAGCGATGGCCCTTTGTTACCACTCCTCACTGTGCCCAGGACAGTCCCGGTTTGCACCCTCTGTCTGGTTTGCACCCTCTGTAGCCCTCTCAGCAGTGTCCTGGTTTGCCTCTTAAATGCTCTGGTTGCCCTACTTATAAAACCCCTCTGCTGGCATCTCCAACCTTTATTTCGAGCCACTCTTCCTGGTTTGCAATTATATCTCTGTGTGGCTTTTTCGTTAAGATTGGCTCTCACCAGACCGTGAGTCCCACTGCAGCTGGAGCTCTGTTTGTTCATTGTTGTGTCTCTGGGGCCTCACCCGGGGCCTGGCACACAGCAGTGCTCCACAGCTGTTTATAGTCACGGAGGAATCCAGCTGGGTTGGGAGGCCACATGGCCCTGAGACACACTGACTAGAGAGCAGCATCGGGCCTCTGGCGTCCACGGATATAGGTGCCAAGTTCAGGCACGCAGGGATTCACGGAGGTACAGAAAAGCTGGGGTCTCTCCATTTCCAGGGGCTGCTGTAACAAAGCACCATGGACTTGGAGGTTAAAACAACAGAAATGGATTCCCTCATAGTTCTGGAGGCTAGAAGTCCAAAATCTAGGTGTCGGCTGGGCCACGCTCCCTCTGTAGTCTAGGGAAGAATCCTTCCTGGCCTCTTTCTAGCTTCTGCTGGCTCCTGGCCATCCTTGGTGCTCCTTGGCCTGTAGCTTCATCACTCTAATCCCTGCCTCTTCTTAAAAGCACACCAGTCTAGTATCACTTCATCTTAACTTAATTACATCTGCAAAGTTCCTCTTCCAAATATGACCACATTCTGAGGTTCTGGGTAGACATGAATTTTGGGGGGACACTCTTCAACCCTATAGAGCAGGGGTGGGGAACCGTATTTCTGCTAAGGGCCATTTGGACATTTATAACATCATTCGTGGGCCATACAAAATTATCAACTTAAAAATTAGCCTGCTATATTTGGTCAAACATTTCATTAACTTACCCCTAATGACTTGGCAGGGCCAGACCAAATGATTTCACGGACCTTACATGGCCTGAGGGCTGGACGTTCCCCACCCCTGCTACAGGGGGTCACAGGTGCCTCTAGTGGGGAGGCAGGCTCTTCAGAAGCCAGTGTTCCTGTGGCCAATATCATGGAAAGAACTCTGCACTGGCTCTGAAATCCTGGTCCTGCACTAGCAGAGGGACCTGCAGCAAACCTCTGTGCTCCTCTGAGCCTCAGCTTCTTCGTCTGTTCATTGGGGACGATGACATCTGCCCCATCCCACCTCCCAGGACTATGATGAGGATCAAGTAAAGTGGAGGCTTGTAAAGCTGTCCGCGGGTTGTCAGGTTAGGCTACAAATATGATCCTCCGTGACCTGACCTCCCCTTTCTCCTGGCTAGGATCACTGCTTTTACCATGGGACGGTGAGGAAGGCGGAAGAATCCAGTGTCACGCTCAGCACCTGCCGAGGAATGAGGTAAGAGGCCCTGACAGTGCTGGGGGACACCTGGCTCTCTCCCAGGAGTGGGATTCTCAGGACAGCAGGGCTGGCCTTGGGCAGGGGCCTTGAGAAGCCGTCCATTGGGTGTGCATGCAGGCCAGTTGTGAGAAGGGTCGAGCTTGGGAATGAACTTGAGGCTCTTGAGTTTCAGTGATACTCAGGTATGATGAAGCATCAGAGCAGGAGAGGGACGACTGCCCCTGAAGAGACAGTTGGCTGTACTCAAGATCCCAAGAGGGGCTTACTGTGCATGCATGCGTGAGTGCATGTGTGCGTGCGTGTATGCATGTATGGGGTGGGGGCATACCGAAAGCACAGGGGGCAGTCAGGAGGCAGCGGGAGAAAGGGAGATGTGGCAAGAGTCTTTATTGCGGCTTCTGCAGGAAGGAACAGGCAAGGCTTGGGATTAGTTTCAGTAATTTCCGTGGGATCTGGGGCTCAGGGGCTGTCCCTAGTTGTCTGGAACCTGGCCTGGGGTGAACAGGGCAGGGGGATAGTGGCCCGGAGGATGAAAGCCACATTTGAAATGCATGCTCACTGGCGAGTTTACTGTCTCAAGGAATTGGCTAACCCTGGGAGCAGATGTCAAAGCATCAGAATGTAGAATATAAATGATGGGGTCCACACACTTGAAACTGAGTTGGAGCATTTATTCCCACTTCCGCTTTGCTCTTCTCTGGTAGAGTACTTATAGGTGGCAAAAATATGAAATAGGCAATAGTAAAAAGAGAGGACGGGAAGAGAAAGGAGAAGCAAGGGTAATGTTCAAGACAGAAAGTTAACTGAAAAGTTCCGCCTAGGAGGCACGTGGGAGAGAGAGTGACTCTTCATTCTCCGGGCCAGGCTACCTGGGTGTGAGCCAGTGGCCCTTTACCTGCTGGGCGACCTTGGGTCTCGATGGTCTGCCTCATTTGTAAAATGTGGATAAAGGGACTATATTCCTAGTGTCATCCTCATTAGATGGGTTAATAGATACCTAATGTGTACAACTGGCTGTCACATAGGAGCACCCCGTCACCTCCTCGATCCTTGCCTCCTGGGTGTGGCTTGCAAAGGGCCAGTGTCACCTGGGAGCGGGTTCAGTATGCAGTGTCTCTGGTTCCACCCAGACCTACTGGGTTATAATCTGCATTTTACCAAGATCCCCCAGTGTGCCCAGTACAGTTTGTTCCTGAGAATGTAGGCTCCTTGACAGTATAAATTCTACCTCCAATATCTGTTTCTCCAGCCTACCTGAGTGCTTTGCATATAGTAGGACCTGTACATGTATACTGAAGTAGTAAATACCACTTGTTTAGACTCTCCCCACACTCCCTTTCTTTTGGAAAAGAGATGATCTGTAAATTCCCTATTTTAAATGTCTGGTTTTTTGTTTTAATTTATTTTTATTGATTTCAGAGGGAGAGAGAGACAGAGATAGAAATATCAATGATAAGAGAGAATCATTGATTGGCTGCCTCATGTACACCCCCTACTAGGGATTGACCAGGAATTGAACAGTGACCTCCTAGTTCACAGGTTAATGCTCAACCACTGAGCTACACCAGTCAGGCTAATTTCCTGGGTTTTAATGTGATACCTATACCTAATGTGTTGATACACTGTCTCTATGGAAAAAAAAAGAAAAAGAAAAAGAAAAAGCCCTGAGTGTAGCATCTGCCAATATGCTGGTAAAGCTATTCCCACCATGAGCAATTTAAAGTAGACAGCATGACGATACTGCAGGCAGAATTGGGAAGATATGCACATGACTGCCTCTTCCGATCCAGTAGGTTTTTCCACTGTGTACCCTTCTTCTCTGTCAACTGATTCATTCAATAATTGTTTCTTTTATTCAGCATATTAATAGTGAGTGCTTGCTCTCTGCCCATGCCCTACACAGATGGTGGAAAGACAGGCATTGAAAAGTACTTTTCTCAATTTTCTCTTCTGTAAAATGGGCATCAATGACTGGCACGGTAGAGAATGAGATGTGCTATGTTAACTGTACAGGCATACGCAATTATTGTCGTCTTACACCATTTTATAACAGTGAAACTGCTCAGATTTACCTAGGCCCACATGCAAATGCAAGGCTGCAGATCCCCCGTGTTTGTTTATAAATTGGACCATGTCTGCTCTGTAGGGCTTCGTGGTGAGTCAGCCAGTGGGAATTAGGCAGGAAACAAGCTCTGGCTGGGCCATAACAGTGGCCTCCAGTCCCCCTACTCAAGTGTCTTGGTTGAGCCAAGCCGACTGGCCTCCCGGTGGTGTTTACAGGCCCAGCCAAGGCCACCTGCAGTCCGCAAGTAAACAGCCGTCTTTCCCAAGAAGCAGGAAAGGGAGCATGCAGGTGTGACTTGCATCTCTCCGCCTCTTCCTCTGTCCCCTTGGTCTGGAGCGGTGGGAAGTTGCTTGGCCTCTTGTAAATCATTCCCACAGCCGAGCTGACAGGGGGAAACCGGGTGAGTCGCCCATGTGTTTCTGTTTTGCATGCTTCCCTCTGGTGGGGTCCTCCCGCCTTCCTTTCCCAGCCGTCTCACTGCACACCTTAAGCAACCAAGGGTGACTGTGGACTCGACTGATTTAAGAGCTGGAGACTCGTGCCAGATGGCTCCATTCGGACTCGGGAAGGAGCAGCTGCGGCAGCTGCAGCCTTCAGACCCGTGTAACACTCAAGTCCCCCACCCCCACCCTGGCTCATAAAGCGATGTCGCAATGGAAAAATCTTTTAGCAATTGAGCTTGTCCTGGAAACATGCTCCTGTGATTGGAGAAAGTAGGTAGGACTTATACCAAGTGGATTCTTCAGATACAGAGGAATTCAGCTGAGTTTCTAGATGGTTGCTATCCCCCCTCTTCCCTCCAACCAGTTCTTTGAGCTACTTCAATTGAAGAAGTAATACATGACCATAGTAAAAAAAAATTCAGATAGTACAAGAGTGTACAATGAAAGGTAGGTCTCTTACCCCGAATTTACAGAATCTTCCCTTCTAAGAGGTGGGCATGGTTATCAGTGTCCTGTGTGTCCTGTTAGAAATATTCCTTGCAAAAAAAGAACATAGATATGTAATGAAGTGCTTTTGTCATCTTATTTGGGCCACTGACCCCTTTGAGAATTGAGTGGAAGCTATGGATACTTATAAACTACACCCCCAAAATGCTACAGCATTTTGTTACCAATGTCGGGTGTCCATACCCATCAAGTCTGTCTCCAATGAAGAGCTCATCCTCTAAATGTCCACAGGATGCTTGGCAAACTAACACAGAATAGAAATGTAAGGAGCGATGATTATTTGTGAAGAAGTCTAGGCAGCATGGGGTGGAAATGTTCTTGATTGAACCTGTGGGATGTGAAAGGCACTGCGTGTGTGTGAGTGTGTGTGTCCCTAGCTCACTGTCTGTCAGGAGGAGAGATATTGATTCCCGTAAAAATATTTTTAAAAATCTGATTGGTCAACTTATT